GCTTGAAGGCCTTTTTCACTGTAGAGAAGAATCGTAGGAAGGTTTCTTGGCTCTTGGCGCATCCCTTCGATGATATCTCGAGCGATACTAGTCTCGCATTTGGAACTGCGGATGTCTCGTACGAGGGCGTTGACGTCTTCCATCTTGGAAAGAGAGTGTGTACGATCGTACTGGTGGGCAACTGTGACACAAAGAAAGGAAGATGGGGTTTCGAAGCTCAGGAACAGAATAGCAAGCTAGTCGGCGAAGGGCAGAGGTTATAAGATCCCTGATCCGAGTGACAGCTATGATGCTGATCACGATCGGTCTATGTCACATTGCATTCCATGAGTGATTAAACACCCTTCATATCGGTGAGAGATTTCCGAATGTTCTTTATCGATTGGCACGCACGTTCATACCAACCACTGACTCGTCAGACCGGCATAGATAAGGGCCGCTCAGCTTAGACGTATACGTGTCTTTTCATCTTCGCAAGGCGCTCTGTACAATTGGCAGAGTTTCTCATTTATCATTCCGTAAGGGTCGGAGACTATGCTGCAACTTTCGAAGTGCGTACATGATTCTGATAGTATCATAGTACGAACGGACCTATCACACGAAAGCATTGTGATCGAGTTCGCTGTTATCAAGTAAATATGTGAAAGTGGACATCTGTTCCGGGCCGCTGGAAAGGGCAACCTTGATCAGCATTCTTGATCCACCTTTCAAAATGGCCCGACATCCCATCACAGAGATAAGACCCCTTGCCGCCATAGACTCGCCTCCGAGGACTCATTTCTCACCTGTCAGCCCCCTTGCATGAGAGCCCCCTTGTACTCGTAATCTGAGGCGACCCTTGCAACATCGGACTCCCGCGCCAGGAAAGGCTCCTCGAGGACCCGGAATCCATCGTGAGTCTCTTATATTGCTGGGAGCCGCAAGATAACGTTTACTTGACAGCGGCCACTAATTCAATTGCAGTTGCTGGGATTCTTATCTTGTGCTAAGCAATATCGCCATGTCTGGCACATCCCACATTGTCCTTGGCATCGTCATCGGTCTCGGGCTCTTAGGGCTGGGACAATACCTCAATGGGCCGCTGAAATCAGTCCCAGGCCCCATATGGAGCAAGTTCACGAAGCTCTGGCTCCTTCGTCGGATTTACAGCCGGAAACTTCATTTGCTGGAGATCGAAGCACATGAGAAATACGGTATGTGATTATTGCCTCGGGATACAATACCTCGATTTAAAAACCTGACGAGCCACACAAAACCGCAGGCCCAATCTTCCGTGCTGCCCCGAACTATGTCATGGTTAATGATCCAGACTACATCCATGAAGTCCACACGTGGAACCGTTCGGACTGGTGGATCACGCTCGACCCTCAAGTAGGATTGCAAAGCACGGGAACAGCAAGAACAATCACGCAGCATAACCAACAGAGGAGACGAATCGCATCAGCGGTACGTTCACCCTTTTCTCTGGATACATAGATAAGCAGCTCTAAATCCGCTCCTGCAGTACAACCCAGACTCTGTCTATGAGATGGAGCCCAAGCTAGATCACTCTCTCGAGCAATT